TTTCTAATTTTTTTCTTTGATTTCTTATTTAACTTTCTTGTATTATTTTTTTCTAATTTGTTTTTATACTTTGTATATTTTTTTTACTTTTCTAACATTTTTTTTAGTTTAATACTTTTTTTTTTGTTTCTGCTAAGGCCATTGGTTATTAATAACTACTGTCTTTATTGTAATTTAATTATAATTATATAACTTGTACAAGTTAAGTTTACAACTAATTACATATACAGTTTTTGATTATTTATTTAAAGTAATCTATCTACAAGTTCTATACTAGCTGCTATATCTATAATCTACTAAAAGATTATCTAATTAAATACTTTGATTCTTATACTACATCTGACAGATAACTATACAAGCTTTTATATATCTAAGTGTTGTCTAACCTTATTCTAACCTTTCTGTTTATATATTCATTAAGTTGTTACATATTTCAAAATATGTTACTTAACTATAGAGCTTCAAAAAGCCTTCTTGCTAACTAACTACTTATATTTAGTCTTTGTTAACAAAACTCACTTTTGCAAAATTCATTCAAACCTAGTATTACTTTATAATATATCTTTAGTACTTATAGTATATCTTGCTTTTGGTATCAGACACTCAATTCAGATAGTTCAAAATAGCTATAATCTGTTTCTGATATATCAAAGTTATAATATCTAATATTCTTTTTTTTGGTTCAAGACTTACAATGATCTGGTTGGTAATACCTCTTATTTGAGATTTTTGCCTACCTAATTCCTTTACATTAATATTTATTTTTTAGATCTAGTTTTTACAATAGTATTATTAAAAATCTGTGTTACTATTCTACTTAGATTTTTTCTAAATGGACTTCTTGTTTTCTAATTTCAACAGATTTATACAGTTATAAAAACTTATCTAGAGTTTGTACTATCTGATGCTAGTTTATATTTCTATATATAAACTGTTACACAGATACCTTATAACTTGCCAATTATGCTAATATAACTGCCATTACAGATATCTTAATTCAATTATTAGAAATAGTTGTTATAATACAAATATTACATATATTATTATTAAATTTTTACTGTTGATAGAATTTGAACACTTAATTTATTACTTAGAAGGTTGACAACTTATCTACTTCACTAACTTGCTACACTTCAGTACTTTTTTTTTTAAATTGTTTCTTATAATGTTCTGCTATACTTGTTTTAACTAGATCTGGTTCTATTACTAGTTTTGTTACTTTTTCTTCTTGTTTGATAAATTTACCAAGTACTATTATCTTATAAGGTCTATTTAAAAGACTAACTATTATTTTTCTTTGGTTTGTTTTGATTATTTTATATCTTTTATTTATATTTTTTTTTATTTGTTTTTTTTGTCTTTGTTTTTATTTTTTTTTTCTTATAATAACTTTTGCCAATTTTTCATATTTTTTATCTAAGTTTTTGACTATTGTCTCTGTAATTTTGGCAGCAAACTTCCTATTAAATGAATAATAAACTTATAGATGTGCAAATAACTAATGAAAATGATTTGATAAAACTTTTAACAAGATTTCATAATAAAGATCTCATATTAGAAAGTATTATAATGTATAAACCTATTGAAGATTCTAGTTAAAATCAAGCTAAATTAACAATTTTATGAAAATTAAGTTTAATAAAAAAATTTTCTCTTATTACAGTAACAATAAACATTATGATTTCAAATATTAAATAGAATGAGTTACAAATTATTATATTTTTTATATCTAACGGCTATATTTTTGCGTGAAGTAAATATTCATTATATTAGATATAAAAAAGGTTTGCAAGTATAATTAATAAAACATCAGTCATACAAGCCGCAGGTCTTTAGCACTCCCGGATTTCTAATTGCAAGATTGCCAGCTTAAGATTGACAAGAAAAACAACAGTGCCAAGGTTGCGGTTGAAGACCAGCCATAATCAAGTGATGCACTTTGAAAATTAAGAACCAAAGAAATAAATCCTCACAGCAGGATAATATCAGTAAAATTTTGGTTACAAAAACACTCAATAATATTCCAGATAATTGGAACTGTCGTGCCTAAAGTTGGCACCCTCATGGATTTGTAACTTTAGATACACTTGACTACGCGTTAGCTATGTAACAATTAGACATATGTAATTTCAGATGCCTAAAATTGCAACTTTAAATATAACACATATGTTATCCGTACAAAAATTATGAATAAAAATTTGAAAATTTCAAATAGGCACATGAACAGATTCGAGTATTACTATTTGTTCATTTCAAAATCAATTAGAAATGCTTTGCTGAATGGCTCCTAAACAATATTCAGTTATACATTTGTTGTAAAATTTTAAAATACTTATTTGGAAACTTTGTTATGAAAAATTACTAGATAAAATTTAGTATAGGTAGCACCTACTTCAAATCATTTGACTATTTTACTGTGGCAGATTAAAATTAAATTGCATATAATATAATAGGAATGGAGCTGATGTAAGTCTGGAGCATGAAGAGGAATTAATATGTAGTATCTATGTTAATTATACTATAAAATTTAGATAACGTCAATGCCAAATCAGATAAATTATTATGCAAATCACAATATTTTGATTATAATGCAAATCATGTAATTAGACGGATGAACAAAAAATTCGAAATTACGTTTTTAATGTTTTATATAAAATACATCAAAAACGTAACTTTTGTATCACTGAACATAAAATTTAAGAAATTTCTACTTCGCTTTGAACAATCATTTAATATTGACCTTTTGGTGTAGATTTTAAGTTTACTAAAACAAATAAGTACTTTATTTTAATAATAATTGAAATAAACTATTACGATATTGTTATGCGTTTTTATCCAACTTATAAATAATTTTATATAACGATAGTTAATATAAACCTTTATTTATAACGATTTTTAAACGTAAAACTTTGTTACAACACAAAACTTTATTTATAATAATATTTAAACATAAAACTTTATTACAGTAATATTTAAACATATAACTTTATTTATAACAATATTTAAACGTATAGCATATATAAATTTATAAAATCAACAATATAATAATATCATTATACCTTTTATAACTCCAAATAATCGAATTTTTTGAACCGTCACCAAATAAACAACAAACTTCAACTTAGTAAAAAAAAAAAAATAAATAAAATAATATAAGTAATTAAAATAAACCTAGGTCGCATGTCAACACACAATAATAGTGAAAACTATTTTAAACCATCATTTTAAAATAGTTTTCTTTGAAAGACCAGGAAAAAGCGGTTCTTATATACTTTTTTTATCGATACGTTTGTAATCGCGATTTTACGAACCAAAAACACGAATTAGGTAATCATCTGAACGCGGTATGAACTGTAATCTAATTGGTTAACATTCGCGTGTCAGTTTAGGAGTACGTACCATAAAACCCATAGGAGAACTTTCGTTTGATTGGCTAATTCGAATCATATACCCATGAACGAGACCTGGGTACAATTCATGGGCTCACGATCCGGGAGATCGAATAAGACCCGGGCATATTTCTTGTTAGATATATCTATATTTATCAATTACTAAATACTAGGTAATGCGTAGCATTGTGTGTCCGAAGCCTAACACATGATGATCAGCATGCTACACAAACGCGAAATAAGCATATTAGTGTTACATTAAAATACAAATATAGACACGCGTGCGGACACACAAAAAATTTCCAAATTGCGTTTTTGATGTTAATTTCATAATTTTTATGTTCGTGCATCAAAAAGGTACCATTTTTTGAGCCAAATGCATCAAAAATGTAACTTTTGTATCACATGCCGAATAATTTAGTGTCCTCCGCTTCTCTCCGGACAAATTAAATTATGTAAAGTACACGTGTTTAGCAGTGTTTTTCTATGGCCATTTGGATTGATATGATTTATGGCCTTTTTTAATTCTTTTTCATTATTGGCGAAAATTTTTAGTAGAGTGCTGTGACTATATAAAATTAGGTGACATAACAAAGTGATAAGTCACTTTGAGTAATCTGTTCATAAAAACTGATGAATGACTAATCTGTTCTCATAATGATAGGAAGACTTTCGTATAATTGGCTGTTTAAAATCCATTTAATTTTACATTATTTATACAGTTTAAAGTACTTTTAAAAAAAATAAAACTACAAAAAAAGAAGTATATAGAAAGTTTTATTAGGGTTGTAAGACTCTACTATTAAAAATAATCAAAATCCCTTTTTGTTTTAGAGAAGTTAGAATGGTAATAACCTAATTCTATCTATCTTTAAGAAGTCGCTATTATGCTAACTTCTTTAAAACAAGAAATGATTTTGATTTTTTTAATGGAAGAATCCTACAACCCTAATAAACCTTTTTATATACTTCTTTTTGGTTTATTCTTCGTAGTTTTATTTTTTAAAAAAGTACTTTAAACTGTATAAATAATGTAAAATTAAATTGATTTAAACAGCCATATGGCTATACTCGTAACACTATATCTATACTTGCTGGCAAAACTATTGGAATTGGGACGAATTTTATTATATTTGGGATGGGATTTGGGACAATTTTATTATATTTGGGATATTGGGTGGGATTTAGAGATTTTAGTTTTGCCAGCATGTATATCTATATCCGATACATAATATTTGATAATCATTTACAATAATGCCTTGCACACGTAATGTTGAGACTTTCATTCCAAAAAAAACGTGTTTTTATGCTAGTTATTCGTTTAAAATGCTAAAACTTAACGTAACATTACCTTCTAATTTTTAGGAAACATTTATAAATTGTTCTATAAATTGTTCTATAAAGTTTATATACTGTATTTTAAAACTTGTAGAATAACTATAATTATTATCCTAGCTAATCTTGATTTCAAGAAATGTAAAATGATAAATTTTGATTAAGCATTCCAGAATTTTTACAAATTAATTATTTCGAATAACTTATTACGCAAATATCGATTTACACATAAATCAAGTTACATTATAGATTTCGAAGATTTTTAATGAGAATGTACTATAATATGTACAATTTTTTACACTTTGAGAATTCATAAATTTCACCAGTACGAGGACATGTAACTTTATCATTGTTTTTTGAAGCCATTTCAGCTAGTGCCTTATATTTGATGAAAGAAATGAGATAAAATAAGTGAGGAAAATAAATAGACAAAAATAAAAGACATTACAAGTAGGGGAACTTACATCATGAGAATAAGCACAACCATTTGGTAAAATCATAGGATAATTATCTTCATTCATAATCTTTTTACTAATTCGACATACTAAAGTCGAATTTACGTGATGATTCATTGGCAAGCCTTTTGCAAGAGTGCCAAGAGTATCTGGAGAACATACAGGACAATCAATGTTTTTATTATCGTGTTGATAACACATTGGGGTTTTAAGAGCAGACAATCCAGCCTGTAAGGTGACATTCAATAAAGGTTGAGAAGGGAGGGCATTTAACTCATAAAAGTCAATTCGAAAGCGAGCAATTAGTCGTCCCCAACGAATAGGATCGTATAGAACCTAGATAATAAAAACGAATAAGAGTAAGATAATAAACTGAAAGACAAGTAAAATAATTACGATTGAAATAATATAAAAAAAAAATAAGAGAAGAATAAGAGAAGATACCTTATAAGGTTTACAAGTAGTATTAGGAGGAAAGGCAAGAGCACCCATCATTTGAAGGTATTGCTTGTAAAGGGGGTCATCAGAAGATATAGGTTTAACATTATCACGTCTCCTAATAGGACCAGGCTGAGAATCCGACTTTTTAGGATCTTGAGCACTCTTTTTATTAACATCTATATAGGCTTTGAAATGTTCTTTTGAATATTTAAGGGCCTCCTCTCTTTTATTTTCGCGACATAACTCGATAACTTCTTGTACACGAAGAAGAAATTCAAGGGTGCTCTGTGGAATAAGAAATTGGATAATAAGAAAATGGTAAAGAAAGGAATAGATAGTAAATCGACAATAAATTGATATTAATTGCTTGCATTTATCTTCCGTAAGTTACTCTTATTTTCATTGCACCATCTTAAAGCTTCTGTACATCTGTTTTTTCTCAAAGCTTGCTCAATAACATGAGCTTCTGTAAACAGGTCAATATCAACTAAGGACTATAGAAAGCAAGAAATTCAAATTAGATCTAAAATAAATTAAATAAAATTTAAAAATTTTAGTAAATTAAGATATACTTCAATATCGGATTCTCGAGCCAATTGGATTGCAGTATCACGAAAACCTTCCCTCAGTAAATAATCGACTATAACGCGGTCAGCACGTTTTCCAGTCCACTCTTTGTATTTTGGATCATAAATATTATTTATTAAAGATACTTCAGCGAGATGATCAACACGCTGTCGGCCTCTTGCGACATGCTTTTGACCTTCACCATGAGCCTCAAGAAACTATGAAAAGCAGATAATTAATTGATAATTTATAAAACTTTTTCGAGAAAAACAATTTAGTAAGCATACCTCAACTTTTGAGCTTCCAAGCCATTTTTCAATGTTTTCGTGAATTTCCTTAACTTTATCAGGATCGACTTTATTACTTAAAGCAAGTTCATTTTGTAATTGTTTGATTTGCATTTGAATGTGTTTTGATTCCTTTTCAAAATTCTTATAAGCCTTTGAGGTAGATCCTCTGAACTGTACAAGGGGTACCTAGAGTGTAAAGAAATAAATTAGTGTAAAGAACCACGATCCAACATAAAAATATGTGAAATACAAGACAAATAAAACAGCAATAAAATTGTACTTTGAGGAAGGCTTTTTCCAAGGCTAGTAAGGAATCAGGATCAAACCTATCTGCCATTTGTTTTAGTAAAGTATGAACATGTATCCAAAATTTAAGATCAGGTTACGCACGTTGTACAATCGTGAAGTTTATAAAATTAAAGTCGTGACAATTGTGATTGGCTCGTTAATGAAAGTCAAGTTACACCTTAGCCAGTACTGGTGTATTATTCGAATTTTAGGAAGAATTTTACAAATTCAATTTTATACTGTAGGTAGCATTTATCTTCTATTTAATCGTTATTGTAATAAACTAATCAGTATTAATTCTCCTTTATCAAATAAAATTAAACCATTCAACTTATTTGATTTCACTTTGTTTACGTTAATTTAATCGGCAAGTACAGCCTATTAAATATAGGGAATGGACTAAGAAAACCACCATCTGGCACTTTCAGACGGGGTTTTTCTTGTCCATTTCCCATATCTGATATACTTGTGCTGATTTCCAGTTTTTACATAAAATACTTCATGATTAAAAGAACAACCATTCATTATTTTCATCATAAATACTAGTTATGAAACTAATTATCTTATATGTACTACCAGCTAAATTACCTACAAAATGTATACGCACGAATTTACCTCTAACTTTCATCACAACTCCTACTACACCTACTACATACATCTAAATCACACCCATGCAATCTTAGCCAGGCGACTTCGTTATTACTCGAGTTTTTATATTATTTTACAATAGAAGTTTTTTATAATTAAAACTGCCTGAAATTTTATTAGAAGTGATTCTGAAAATGTGAATACATAGTACAACGTTATTGCAAATTTTTGAGCTTTTTAAAGTGAAATAATTAGTTCGAGCGAATGTTTAAACTTCACATGAACAAGGTACGGATAGCATTATTTAATTTTGGCCAATCAGAGCTCTTGCAGATCAACCAATAAAAACAATTAGTGCTAGTTGTGTTGTATTAGTTTTCTTGCCCGCAAAGTATGTCCGACTTTGATGATAAGCTGAGCCAACTTTCGACCCTTTTCAAAGGTGCCAATAAAACAACTTTACATGAGTTTCTAAAACGCGCAAAAAGTGACTTGGATCGTGCGGTGAATATCTATTTGGATCAAGAGAAACGCAAACGACCATTAAAACAGCCAAAACTAGAGCATTTTTTTAATAACGTGTCTAAAAAAATCAAATTAAATGACTGCGATGATATCCATTCAACCAGTGAAGAACCAAAAAAAACTATACAAAAGGACAACTTTTCAGCAGAGACTGTCGCAAACCAGCAAACTTCAATCAATAAAGTTAACTTGAATGACGCATTAAAGTGGCCTTTAATAAATTCAAATAAATCTTCACGTAGAATTATTCAACCTGTATTAAAGTTGTTCAGCCCGCAAGATATTAGTGAGAAAACTCCATGCACACTTATTCACGACGTACTACCTAAGGAATTGGCAAATTCTTTATTAAAAGTTATGCTTAAAGAGTCTGAAACATGGCATCGAAGTCAATGGTGGTTATTCGAGCGAATGGTTACTTCTCCACGCACATCATCCTTTTACATTTCGAACCAAGTCAAGAACACTTGCGATGGTGATGTCTATTATAACGGTAAAAAGACTTCGAATGCGCGACAGTTTTTACCAGAAATGGAAGAAGCAAGGAAGATCATAATGAACATTGTTAACGAGAAACGCAAGATCAGGGTGATGTAATATAACATTTGCTTACGTAGTCGTTTTATCTAATGCTACCGATATAGCATTTAATTAATTACTATTGTACCACATTATTTATATCACATGATATGTTCGAAAAGTCACGAATTCGAGATACAGGGTGAATGGAATCCAAATGTTGCTGTTGTAAGAAAATTAATTTCATTATTATATAGTTTTAAATAGGAATGTTTTCGATTAGTTGATAACTGATTTTTATCATAAAGACAAATTGCTATGCAAATTCAAAAGGTAAGATTCATTAATTCCTATTGTTTCTATCGTTTTCTCGAATTCAGAATTTAATTGATGCATTTCAATTTAATAGAAAGTGTTGGTTGGCACAGCGATCAAGTATGTTCTACGCAATATTTCAATATCACTTTTTTGACTAGAACAAAACTGCAATTAAATTTATTTTTGCCAGCTAACAAACCTTGGTCCACGTCCAATAATTGCTTCGCTTTCGCTTGGTACTACTCGCCAATTTCGTCTTCGTCGAATTAATGAAAAATCTTCCAGAATTATATCCATTCCTCTCCCTCATAATTCTCTTCTTATCATGTGGCCTCCCTGTCAAGAACTTTGGAAACATGAAGTATGCTCTCAAAACGTCATTGATAATCTTCATCCAATCGCTGGTCCAAAGAGGATAAACATCACTTTCAGACAATTCAGAGATGAATATACCGCTGAATGGACTCCAAAATGTTCTTGTGGAATTCAATGCGTTTTGAAACCCGTGATGCGAGGCACAAATATTGGTAAATATTTTTACATGTGCTATGCTTCGGGTGTTAATGAAGGTCAAAAGTGTAGTTTTTTTGAATGGTTGGATGTTTCTAAACGACAAATCGATTACAAGAGAAAATATAATTCCCTTGAATCTATCCAATCCGTTGAAAGTCTTTAAATCTATTTATTGTTTTAACATACAATAAATGTAAAAATGTAGCTTTGTACAAATATTTTATATGTTTTTACTTTATATTTTATGTATGAAAAACCATTACGATTATAAACAAACAAGTTGAATATATAAATATTGGTAAATTGTTAATACATTCGTAGTAAATATGTGTTGACATTTGGGTGTGTATATCGCAAAACTACCTAAAAAGTATATTGTATATTTTTTCTTCTGGACACTTTATAGGAAGAAATTTATATTATTAGTTAATTTTTGTAGATTTACTCTTAATTTTTTATATAAATATTTAATCGGAGTTAGGGTTGTTAATGGATTGCTCCAGGTTATAATAAAACATATAACCCACTTCTGGAGTGTTCCGGAGTGGGTTATATGTTTTATTATAGACTGGAGTACTTCATTAACAACCCTAATCAGAGTGTTGTTAATTTGTTCTCCTGGTTTACATAACCACCCTTTTATTGTAGCTTAAACAACCATGTTTGATGCACTAAATAAAAATGTTCAGCGCTATAAAAAAACCTTATTCTAGCCTTAATTTTAACTTTAACCCTAAGTCTATTTTAATATTAATTCTAAATTTTAATTTTTAAAATTTAAACAAAAATTTATCTGAAAAATTACTAAAATATGCTTATAGTTTATATTTTTTAAATTTTAAAATGTTTAAATAAAATTTTATTTAATAATATTTGAAAATAAGGATATATTATAGTTATTTTTAATTTTATATTATAAAAAAAATCTAAGTTACTTATAGGTTAAAAATAGTAAAGTTTAAAAAAATTATTCATTTATTTTTTAATAAACTCTTTAATTATTAATTTTAAAGATATAGTTTTTAATACAATATTACAGCTTATAAAGAATTTTAATTTTTATTATTATAATTTTTATAATTTAATTATAAAATTTAAACTTGTATTAAAAGTAATTTTTTTTTAGTTTCAAAAACATATTAAATTTTAAAAATCTTAAAAAATAATAATTTTAAATAAATACTTTAAACTTTTATTATTATTATTATTATTATTATTATTATTATCTTTGGCAGCTACAATAGTCAACTAGTTAAAAGTTTATTTATAAATGTTTAGTACAGACAATATACAAATAGAACTATATCTAATCTCATGTATTATTATCACACAATTACTCCAATTGGTACCTATAAGTGACCTGCTAAAGTCTGAATCGAGTTCATTTGTCTGCTGCTCTACAATTGAACAGCACCAATCTGATACTATTTATTTATAAAAAAATAAAAAACCAAAAAAAAATTTCTTGTTAAGAAAAAATGCACTAAAAAAAATATGTATAGAGGAGAAATGTAAAAAAACAAATATCAAGAAATAAAAGAAAGAAGATTGCTAACAAAGATCAGACAAACAGTTACTAATTATAAAGACTATGTCAGTTTACTAAAAATTATATATTACTAAATACAGTAATCTCTACTTTAACTCTATCTAATTAACATATTTAATATTAAAGCTTATATTCTAAAGAAAACAATTCAACCAAAACTGAACTAGTAGAGAATTTTTTATGTACTGAATATTTAAACTTCTTGTCACTAGATCTATCTTTATATACAACTTATTATATTTTTTACCAGATCTTATATTTCAATACTTGTTACATTTTTGATCAATTATCTTATTTTTGTCAAAATTTTCAATCTTGTCTTATTGTTGTATTTTTCCAAAACATGTGTACTCATGTTTTATCTACAATATAGGTCTTTTCTGAATAGAACTGATAAACAATTCTAATTTAGAAAGATCAATAATACTGATTTTGATAAAGATAAGCTAAATTGTCTACTTTTCAATAAAAATTTCTTAAAAAAAAGTAAAAAAGAAATTTTTTTTTAGAGTATTAACTATAATGAGTGTAGGAGTTTATATTATATAAACTAGTATATTTAACTAAGTTTTTATCTTTACTGTTATTCAGATATAGCTTAACAAAAACTTTCTTAGTTGTAGCCAAAATTACTTTTTTAATAACTTTATAAACTTTTATCAGAGAGCTAAACCTATAAAGAGTTGTTTTTTTTAACTTTTTTTTATATGGCCCACATGTTATCTGAAACTCTTGAACTTAGACACCATATAGCAAAGTTTTGTTGTATATAAACATATTAATTATATAATTTTTATAGATCAGTATATATAAAAAAATGAGGAATTTACATATAAGGGCCCAAAATTGAAAATAATTATAGATAAGGGTCTAAAATAAAAATATTTATATATAAAGGCCCAAATATTTAAAATTATTATAAATAAAAGCCAAATTGAATTACAAGATCATTGTACCATAATATTGCCATAATCATTCGCCTCAACCACATTTAGGTTAATACTGTATTTGCACAAATTATATCTTGAGGCATTATTTTGAAATATGCAGTTTAAATAAAGCTTATAATTAATTTAGTCAAATGTGTACTATAATTTTATTTTTAAGAAAATGTCAGCAAATTAATTAATGTTTCAAGAAATTATTTTGTACAAGTACAGTATACAAAAGTGATATTGTGCTGAAAGAATAATATATGAAACCAATTTTGTTTATTAGCATTTTTTTTTATTTAATTAGAAAATAAATAAAATAATAGTTATAACAATTCACTTAAAAAAAGAAGATCGATATTGAGTTGGTAAAACATTTTAGTGTAATTAGCAGTATATGAATATAAACTTTTTCTAATTTAAGCATTATTATTGTCTCAACTAAATATTTAAACTAATTTATTTTGTATCGATGTCTTCAATTACAAGTACACACATTATGACCTTTTTCATCACATTTTCTATAAGTATTCTGATCTTCTGGTGCTGTTTCTCTATAGCTATGTAACTGAGTTTTTCATGGCCATCCTGCTTGTTTTATAGTGACTGGTGGTAAAGTTTCATCATTAGAAAAACAAGCTTTAGTATTGATAAGATAAGCTGATTCTTTATAGACATTTTGTAAAATAGAAGTATGGTATATGATATGAGTAAACTCTGATATTTGTTGACTCTTTTTAAGAATAGCAGCACATGTATAAACACAAAGAAATCGATATTGTTGAAATTCTTAACAGATTTTTTTTTTAAATATTAAGGTGAGTACTTGTGACCCAAGATTTTATTGATAGTACATTCAGCTAATGGTTGCATTA